CATGGAATATCTCCTTCGAATGAATCTAACTTTATCGGAAAAGCCAGTCAATTTTTTAACTGTACCACTAAACGGCTGGGCTTGTTGTGAAGTGTCTAAATGGAGAATTATGTTCCAGCATAAAATATTCTTTTCATTATCTTGTTATTATTATTTTTATTAATAGCTTTAAAATTATCAAGAAATTAACGCGATCAGCACTAAGTACCTCGTGTCTGCTATAAACTCATAGTTCAGCGGACAGTCAACGCGCAAACAGTGGTGAGAACCTTTGGTATTGAAACAGAGCTCACCAACGGCACACGGAACCGCACCTTCTTGGCACTCGTTGATGTCTAGAATGCGTGGAAAGAGGAAAATGTTACATGGAGCAAACGACTACGTTCATACCTTCGCAAGTTCGTTGATCAGCGGAAAGCCGGTAACCCAAAGGGCAGACACACACAGATGAATTGCGTATCATGATGCAGTGGAACTGACAAACCGTGTCTGGCGGACAAGCGTTAAAACCTGAAAAATATTAGCTACAATACAAAAATGTAAGGGTTAAATGCCGTAGAACTGTTAAGCCCTGGTGGAAAGATATAATTGCAGTAAAGACGGTGACTGCACATTATGGAATTTATTTTGACACGGTATTTAATGGCATCACGAGAAGATAGTAATTCAATCATCAAGAGAATATCACGAGGCATCACTGATAATAATCACGACATCGCTGAAATTAGGTTATTTCCGCAGACCCGGCTGAAGCGCCTGTCCCATTAATATCAGTAGGGCGGGCAGAACTGCATATGCATTAGACGATAGAAACACACAGAGGTACAAAACATAGTTTAAAATCAGGCCCAGTGGGACGGATTTGCTAAAGATAGATCGGAACTTTAATTGATCACTATATAGGATAATATTCGCCTTTCTATACTTTGCAGCTTTACAAGAAGTAACCAAATCATTAGAAAGGTGATGATAAGTTAAAGCAATTACAAATTGATAAGCTTATTCATTTTTAACAATGAACCCTGATATAATGGATGTACTAAAACATTTCTAGTTTTCCTTTGTACGTATCATTAGTCAAGTGATTACCTAATGAACTCTCAAGAATTATCACTGTTTCTCATACAGATTGTAAGAATATAAAACATATGGAAGTTTATTACTGTCAACTGGCCGGTATTAAAATGTTTGCAAAATCGCGTAATTCAGCATGCGTAACATTAAACAAATTAAACGTAGTACTCTGATAATAACCACTGACCGTTAGGTCGAAAATTGTTGCATTATTAAATAAGGCTTTTCCAGCTGTTTTAGTGCTAATAGTCATAGAATCAAAATATACACCCGCTTTTAGTTATCTGCGAGGCTGTGTTAAAACGAGTTCAAGGAATTCTTTGGACAGTTATAGAAATCATAATTTAAATATGGTTATCAAGATGTAATCAGTCAGATTGGCTTCCAAAGCTAAATGCAACCTTCTAAAACGAACAAGATTTACAAAGAATTAGCTACGGACAGCCGAAAGTCATCAGCTGCGTGGAATAGTCTTACCGTTGATTCTTGAACCGTCTGTTTGATAAACATCTTCGCAGCGGACTGGCAGAATATGCGGTTCGTGTAAATCGTCGTCCTTCTCTACAGTGGGCCCATGAACTAAAATGTAAATGTAGCGCCAGGTAGGTTTCAGCTAAAGTGTTATCAATTAAAAAACTGGAATTTCAAAAGCAAAATCGAAATGCCGAAGAACTGAAAGATATTTTTTTAACTTGAGGAATCTAGCTTTTTAAGACACGTTGGAACTGTCTTACCACGTGATTTCTGTAATATTAACAAATTAAGCTAGCCAGAAAGACTGGTGAATCCTGAACAGAGTTAACTCAGAGTTAAGACAAACAGAAGAAACGAACTACTTTTCATAGATCTTAATAAACCATTCCATATATCTTGGCCTGCCAAGATTTAGAGAATCCGTTGTCATAACCTTGCATAGTTTACATTTTTAGTACGATCATTAATCTGAACGAGGCATAACATTTCCTTTTACTATGTGTATGTTCTTGACCAAACAGTGCCTTAGGAAGTTTAATGATTTCTAAAATTAATGAACGACATGTTATTTGCGATATGAACTTTTTTAATATCTATCGCATATAGTTTAGCCAAAGTTCAACAAAGTTGAGGCTTATTCCTCCAGGTTGAGTTTCATTATCATCAGATAATGTCAGCATAAGTCCACTCCAGAGAACCCAAAAGATAGTACATGGTGATAGCCAAACTCTTTATGCCATCTTTATTCTGTTTCACATCATTTTATCCAAAATGAAACTTTATGACGTCATTCAATCTACGAAGCTAAATGAAATGTCTTAATTCTCTGTGCAGCGCTTTATTCTACCATTTATTAATATTTTTCGGCTATTTCTGAGTTTGCTCTCGACGTCACTGTGACATCCGACTTTGTGATAAGTATGTGGCAAAAAATTTTGTTAAAAATAGTGATTTTCATAATTATGCGCAACCAATGCTGAATTGATAAAATTTCAAGTTTAGAAATTTTTGATTTGGCAGTGAGGTCACGAAAAATTTGTAGAACTGACCAAACTCGACTAATAAGGGTAGCATTTTAACGTACCCAAACTGTACATACCATTCTTGACCATCCTTTTCATTATTCGAATATTACGGTAACTCCCTTCACTGTAACAACGATAACGTTTCAGTTCATCTTCCTGTTGGAAAAAAGTGCTATGACTAAGCGAAAAGCTATGGGAGACGGGATTACCGAAACGTCGTTCAGCATCAAGGTGGCGTTGCTGCGGATGCTGTTCCGGCGACCGTCAGAGAGTATCGTGACTCCGTCCTTCATCCACCAGACAGGCGCATTGGAGGCAGTGGGAAGCTCACAGAAGAGTATCGACTGTACATGCAGTTCGTCCTCATTC